CAAACTATTTCGAAAGATAGAAGAAGCTATGTGGAATACACATTTCAATACCGAAGAATTTACGGCAACGATTGATAACCTTTTTCAGAAGCAAAACATATTGAACAACTTGAATGAACAGATACTCAATCTAACGACAACGGAAGATATAAAATGAAATAATAAATTAAGATGAGTACTGTATTACTTGAAACACAAAACAGACACATACGCAACTTCATTCAAAATGCTCAAATCACATCACAGACACGTCAGAGTGAAACGTCATTGCAAATAATAAACGTTGAACATCAACCGTTCGTCACAACAAACCTCACAGAAAATACATATAATTGGAAATTGAAACAGGAATGTCTCATAGAGAACACAACTCTTCCATATTATAATAGGTAACAGAAGAATCTAAGCAAAATGACAATGATAAACATGAATTAACAAAGGACTACTAACAGTTACTGACATACCAGCTCCCAACCTGAATTAAACTGATCGAAAGATTATGTCTTCATCATGTGAAAATAAATAACAGTCCCTCTCGTTAGGTTTAGTATCATGCCGTCATAAATTATATGAGAAGAACATAACACGTATCATGACAACAACTGGTTTGAGAATAAACGTGTTTATTTCCGGTGCAAAGACCCTATCAATGTATCAATATTAATTCCATCAAAAATACCATCTTTAATAACTTGACAACAATATCGTAACTTTATCTCTTCTAAACCAGTCTGTTTAAAGGTTTGGTAAGCTTTTGTGGTGAATGATGACATTTCTGTGCACATAGTCCGAAAATTCCGTTCACACAAGCCTGCAACATAGTCAGTACTCAGGAAAGCGAGCAAACATCCTCTAGTAGTCAAGTCATCGTGTACCCAAACTCAAACTTCATACATCACGGATCCGCATGAATGTTCCATACATGTTAACCCCTCATGACAGATGTCCAGACATTTAATTACCTCAAAGCACAACTACGTAATGAGGCATTACAAACGAAAGTTGGTTTTGCAATTACTAACGCAAACTACCAAGACGCTATTTATTTGTTAAAGCAGAGATTTGGACAAACACACAAAATCACACAGGCGTACGTGCAAGCGTTATATAAAATTCCATCCCCAAGAAATCATCTTGTCAGCTTGTGAAAATTTTACGATAAAATAGAAACTTGCATAAGAGTGCTAGAATATTTGGTCCAATCACAAGATTCTTCTGGATTATTACTTGTACAATTTTTTTTTAACAAAGTACCAGGAGAAATATAACAACTCCTTGTCCGTGAACATGGAACTGAAAGCTGGTTATTACAAGACCCCCGGATGAGTATATTCCATGAAATAAACATAATTGACGCATGACAACATATTGAAACTTCACATAACATACGTCGTCTTTTTTTACCGGTACAAAATCCTCAAACCTCCAAATCAAGCGCTGTATGCTAGAAATATGCACCCAAATTTTGAAAACTAAACTTTGTGCATTCTGCCACGATGTACACTCAAGAACGTGTCTGATCAAGAAACACGCATGTATATGTATTTTACATATACATATACACGCATGTATATGTAAAATGCGAGAAACTATGTTTCAACTGCCTTGGCACACATGTCGTAATTGAAACAAAAGACACCAAATACGTCTGTGCAATGGACACCCATTTAACAACAGTAATAATCGTGATAATGAGAGGAATTGCCAAACGTGCAAAATACAAATGACAGGCCACAGAATATGAATGTTAATTGTAGCGATGGACATTTTCAAAATTCTTCTGCTTTCAATCAGAAATCTGTACATCTTGTAAATGACACAAATAGGAAGGAGGAGGACACTGCATTTCTTTAAACTATATACACTTGTACATTTTTATGAGGGAGCATAGAGATCATTTGTAACAGAGGATTTAGCTAGAAAACTAAATTTATGTAAAGAGGGAAATGAAGTTTTACAAGTAGCGTCATTTGGAAGTTGAGATAAGAACGTACAAGACAAAGAAAAATCAACAGTTTACATAGAAACAGATGCGGAAAATAGAATACCTATAAGTTTTCGTATCATACTTATGAGTGCCATACCTTTACAGAACTATATTCGCCACAATATCAGACTGAACAATTACGGGGAATTCAGCTAGCATATTCATTAATACAGGAAGAGTCGTTTGAAATCTCATTATCGATCGAGACAGTCGACTATTTGGATATAGTCGAGGATTACGTAGTACGAGTAAATGGCCCAATCGGCGTTAAGTCAAAATTAAGGTACTTACTTTCCGGTCCAATAAGGGACAAAAAAGAAAACTAGTTGATATGTACCAACATGTCTAACAATCATGCTTCGAACAAAACGGAGGAACACGATCTAGAAACATTTTTCTGTATCAAACTAGAAGAAATGGACGAAACGGAAATGATAAATATTAAGCAAAGTTGCCATGGAAACAAAATCATGATGAATTACCATCAAATTATATAGTAACGGGAAGAAGAACAGAGAATCTCATTGAAAAACCCAAGATTCCAAATGTCTAAAGTAGTATGAAGACACAACGCACAGAATTACTCGACTTAAACAAATAGCGAGTGTGAAGGTCAAGTAGAAGATACGGAAGTTGATAGCCAATTTAGATGAACAATTTTAAAAAGACTTTGTGGTTTATTCAAAATTTCTTTTATGTGAACAAGAACTTAGTTAGTTTAATTCAATTGAGTATATTCATGGCGTAAGAGACGTTTTATTCTAATTTGTTTTCAAATATGGACAGTAGACTGATATGAAATTTGTGATAGTTTGCACTTTTTGCGGCTCCCAGTATGTCGAGAAAGTCGCGCAATAACGACATTCTTAAGTTTGTGCTTTACCATTGTCGACGTCGGCGACTTCAATGAAGTCAATTTAGGAGCTAAATATGTTGTTATTAAACGTTATGGCGGAACAGACGTGTTAAAAAGTAAAATAACAAATACACCGAACTCCATGGAAAATTCAAAACGGAAAGTCCCTTATCAAATGACAAAATCAAAAGCTCAAACACATTAAACGAATGGAAAACAACTGTCATATTCCTGACTTGGTATAGGCATTTCCTAATGTAGAAAATGGTGGATTAAACCTGGTTTTATGATGTAAACATATCTTAGCGTTAATTGACCAGTTTTAACAAATACATCATGCAAAGACAAAATTAGCTGAAGCGACAGAAAATCATGGTACTGGAAAATGTTAATATAAAATGATTGCAAATTGATGTTTGTGACATTTTGTTTGTGTAAGGATGAACCATGCCCACTCAAAAAACAAAAAAAATATTTAGGAATTTTGACAGGTACATCATTTAACTGTTAAACCACTACTTACACCATCTGTCTTTGTTAATCGAAATTGTCGAATGGCAAAACATAACGACATTTTAGAACCAACTCCTTGCAACACGCTTTAAAATGCTCGTCTGGATAAATTGGAAGGTTTCCTAAAAAATATTTATACAAAATTGAACGAATTATATTCACTTCTATCACCTCGCGTTGTCAGTTTATTTTTCGACTTATGAGTTTGAATGTCCCTTTGGGATCTTTTGTCTCTCTTTTATAATGTATAAGCTTAACTTTCATTTACGATTTCATCATTTTATAAAGAACAATTTAGAACATTATTAGTATTTAATAGTGATGTTGTGATACTGTGTGAATATTCAGCCTATTTTTACAATAATCTGGTTGTCTGTTTAGATTGCCTAGCCCAGTAGAAATTATATTTATCAATATTGACAGACTAAATGATATTATATTCTCGAAAAGGAGTTGTACTTATTTGAAATAATAAGTCCCTATTTATTTGCATCTTCTGTTTTTTTTTTTGTTTTTTTTTTGTTGTTTTTGTTGTTTTTTTTTTTTTAATGTAAGGCTACAACCCTTTTTGTCACTTAATAAAACGATATTCCAACCCTTTTGTTCACTTAATAAAAAGATATTCCTACTAAAGTTAATATCAAATTTGAAACAAGGAAACACAAAAGCACATTTTCGAAACGGGAAGATCATGCTTTAAACTGTTTAGTATATGGTGAAACCATTATAGTGTGTGCAGATAAGATTTGATGACACGCACGATACACCAAAACTGTAATAGGAACGTTTGGTGGCTTACCATTGTATAATTATTATCAGGGTTAAAAAAAATAAATTGGAAGCTTTGTGATCAAGCGTTCATACCCCGCATCCCAATCATTTTAGAAAATTATTTCTCTGCGGATAAATTAATAAATAGATGTATAAATAAATGCATCAATTAATTACCTGCAGAAAATCACGAAATGCACTGTATAACAACTTTCTTTCTTATTTGGTACATTGATAAATGTTTATGCAAATTTAATTTGTAGCTATTTTTGATCATCCTTTACTAATTGCTTTTCTTTCATTTTCAATTTTCGACATTAGCACTATGGGCGAGTAATACATTTTCAAATATGTTCCGAATCAGTTTCGTATATTGCGATTGATATTTCGAAAGTTTAAGAATTCTATCCGTTTTTGTGTTGTGTTTATTGATTTGTAGAAATTATTGGTATTTATTTACATAAATAAATTAGTTTAATTTCCTGCGTTTATTTGCATCTTTATTTTCAATGTCAATTGACATTTATAAAGTAAAAGCTATAGACACCACTGATATACTCAATGGATGCACTTACTTTTTAATATTTGACACATGAGAAATATATAAATATACACACGTTTATTGCATATTAATATTACTGATGAAAGTAAATCCGCTTCGGACGCATGAAATTTATAAAATGCAGTTTAAGACGTACACAGAATGCTGGGGGGCCTTTGATAAGAGGAATATTAATTACAACAATTAATCAAAGTATTATGTAATATATTGTATATTAGATTACGAAATTAAACAAAAATGAGTGGAAAAGTGTTAAAGATTGATATTATAAGTCATAAATTAATCAGGATCAAGAAAACATGCTATTTTTGTAAACAATTGACACGATAAAAATAATAATAAAACGCAACTTAAAAACCCTGACGTCGCTCGTTCCAAGGCATAAAATTCAAGACTCGGAATTCAATTTCACGGCATAATCAGAAACAATATAAAGGTAAGTTATGATCTTTTAAAGATAATGTTATGTTTATTATTATAAACGGAAAGTTAGGTGAAAAACATAATCAAAATTTGTACTGTGAATCTCCAAGACATTACAAAATTTATTTCTTTTAGTACTTTCGATAATTTATCATTTTTGTATTGCTCTTTGTTCAGGTTCTTTATGTCATTTTGCTCTTTAACTGTTTCGGTTTTCATACATCCTTGGCTTTCAAATATTCGGCTTCGAGCGTTCCTGGTGAAGTTAAACCCAGAAAAGTGCTTCTAACGCATAGAAGTCATAACGTGTTGTTTTCGTTTGATGTACTCATCTTTTGTAACACTATTTTTACCGCTAGAAAAATCAGGAGATGATAGTTTCAGATTTGGAACAGCTAACGTGTACGTGAATAGTCTTTCTTGACGTTAAGCTAATTCCTGTTTTCCTTTCTTCTTTTTTTTTGTGTTTTTTTTTTCTTCATTTTTTAAATTTTATTGAATATTTCAACTTATAAAATTAAGTAAATACCAAAGTGAATAATGTAGTTAGTATAAAAACAAGGAATAGTTAAATAACGTGTGCAAATATTTGGAAAGTACAAAATTACAAGCCTAGTATTTTTGATGAGTTTTTTTATATTATGATATATCAACCCTAGAGGTATGAAATCCACTTTTGGCCGTCGGCATCGGTGCATTTTATATATCTGTGGTTGATAAATCAATATGCCAACATTATCAAAAATCAATAATTTTTTAGTAGAAATCTCTATATATATATATATATATTTCGATCAAAAACGTGATAAGAGATCATTCCTTTGAAGCACCTCTACATTACTAACATATGTTTCATTTGATAAGTTTGTAAATAGAAACCCGACTCTAATGAACTATCTTTGACCATATAAACAATATGTCATCTTATGTTTCTTAATTAAGGTAACGGGTATGTGAATGGGCAGTCTCTCGGATTTTTATATTTTGCAAGCAATTGGAAAAAAGAAGAAAGTAATGTTTATGCTTTCGTATATGCAGCAAGTTGAATATTCTGTAGAAAGAAATACAAACGTATAGAATGCACGTAACTATCGAAAACAAAGTGTAGAAAAATTTGACTGTAAATTGCCTCATCTCAAAAACATGTCCTATGAACTTTCTTTCAAACTGATAAATTATTGCACCTACAATTTCCTTTTTATTGATTTACAGGAATTCGTTTTTCCTGTGTAAATCATTCAAGTGTTCCTGTAATATCTAACAACGTAGATTAATAAGATTTTTTAACCACGACTTCACGATATTGCCTTTTCGACGCTTTTCTAGACTGTACAGCAGATTTAACTATTCATATTTAACAGAAAATAAACCATATGACCCCTACACGTTTTATATCAATAAATATGATAATTTTGGGGCAATAACAGATAATGTTTAAAGAAAGTAGGACAGAAATGTTAATTATAAGTCACAATTGCTGTACTTTCTTACAATATTTGCGTGTGTTCTACACATTTTAACTACTATTTTCCAGATACTGTATTTGCTATTATTCCGAAACAATAGTTGAATATATAACGTTTGCAATGTCGATGTCCATATGTAGTCCCTCGTGGTCTAGTTTTGTGTAAAATTTCATAAAGTTCCATGAGATCATCCTTTAACGTACCTGTTACCTTACGTAGTTTGTTTTAAAGAATTTTAAACTTATCTACTCTATGAATATTATCAGTTCTAGCATTTATGTTGTTCTTGATAAATAAAAACAAACCTAAATCTGTCTTACTATACTTATTTTTTTTAAATGGACCTACTTCCGCTATTCATTTCCAAGTGATTTTAACGAGAGGTCTTATGTTGTGCTGATTAATTACTGTATCATTTTCGGAGAGGATTTAGCACTCAGAATAATGTTTAATCTTGCAACATTCTCAATGTGCTTATGCAAGGTCAGAACCCTATGGTTGTCGTTTGATGCTGTCTTTCATATTTTCGTTTCTTTTATTGTTTCATATGTATGAAACGCGGAAACCACATCAATAAACAATAACAGACTACAGCGTAAATGATATATTTACGGTCGTCCATTATAGATGAACGCCGTAGAGTATACTCTTCGGTCGTCTATCAAAGATGAACTAATTTATTGGATTTTCTCGCTGTGAATATTTTGTTCATAAATGTTAATTAGCACTTAAGGGCAAACGATACAGTTTTCATCCGTCGTGTTTTTTTTTACGACAATTTGAATACAAGCTATTTGTCACCTAGTCAATTTAAATATGTGCAGAAGAAAAAACACCTTCATGTCGTACTTTAAGAGAAAAATAGTTAAGCCGATTTTTCGTAAAATTTTCTTGGTGAATTTTTTTTTAAAACGGATATGTCAAAATATAAGCATTATTAGGGAACATAAAATGAGGGTCATTAGGCTTTTTAAAAAGTTATGGACTTTTGTTTTACCCCTTTACCACTGATTTCAATGCACTCCATTAATTACTCTGTTGTGAATTCTTATTGATCGCTTTAATAAATTAATGTGTGCAATTATATTAATGGACGATGTCAGAATATAAATTTGGTTAACGCATAATTGTTTGTAATGACAAAGCGAAATTTTGATTATTTCGATGAAATACGGTAATTTTGTCAGGCGCGAGATTTTTTCCTTTAATTTGGCGCCATAGTCGGACAACAAAAAATACAGAGTCGCCATTTTTGTGCAGCATACACTTTTGATGAATATGGACATGTACCTGACTAACAGACATAGTGGCAAAAAGAAAACGCTGAAGGTAGAGTCATTTCATATAAAAACATAGATTTTAATATGTTAGGTAGCCAACTGTTATCAGTATCACGAAAAAAAAAATGTGGGGGATTGTCTCAAAATACTCTTTACTGTAGAAAATATTTGCAGCTGAAAACTTGCATGGGTTAAAAGATGACTACTGTTTGAGGAACGTATTATAAATTTATGTTCCTAGTTTGACGTGTTATATTCGTTATTGCTGGGTATCTTTCTGTGTTTATTAGACCCTTAATTGGCAAGAAATATGTGTAACCAGAGATCATGACTCATATTACAAAATCACATTGTCTCCATCGGGACTAGAACTTTGAAACTGTGTTTCAAAGCAGCACATTAACCAAGCTAAAGAAGAACTTCCTTAGCGCAACCGCTTACGGCTGAATTATTAATCGATTCATCATGATCATAATTTGATTACATTGAACGCTCCCCGCCCTCTTTGGTATAGAATATTGCATCCGGTCCAGTATCTAGGTACAAACATAGGACTTATCTAATTTATCAAAACAATTGTTTAGTCCACTATTTTCTACATAAGGAAATGCCTGTACCAAGTCAGGAATATGACAGTTGTTTTCCATTCGTTTGATGTGTTTTAGCTTTTGATTTTGCTGTTTGATAAGGGACTTTCCGATTTGAATTTCCTTGGATTTCGGTATTTTTGTTATTTTATCTTTTTCAACTTTATTAAAAAAATTCAGAATTCTGTTGAAGTCGAATTTGCTTTATTTTATTTGTTTACTTCTTTGCAACAATACAAACATTTTTTCACAGATTCCATTATGAAACAACTTTGTATGTCCCCGCAATAAAGTTGTCGGGGTCATATAGTTTTACCCATATCCGGCATTCCGTCATTTTTTGCGGACTTTTTTTCTTAAAACTTTTACATATTGAGCTGATTTTTAGTATGTGAGTCTTCTATGATGAGTTACAAATCGTCTTTACGTTTGGTTCCGCTCTGCCGAAATTATGGGCTTTAGACTTTGAGTATTTTGTGAAAATAACAGTTGTAATGATTTTTTTTCGTTACCTTCACATATTGAGATGATTTTTAGTATGTGAGTCTACTATAATGAGTTATAGATCGAGTGTCTAGGTTCACCTCCGCTGTTTTTTTGCCGAAACAACGGGCTTTGGACTTGGAACATTTTGTGAAAATAACAGTTATACCGAATTTTTCTCTAAACGCCTTCACATATTGAGCTGTCTTTTAATATGTGAGTCAAGTATGATAAGTTTCAGATCGGATCAACGTTTGGTTCCGCTCTATTGGTTTTTGCTGGAATTATGAGCTGTGGAGTTTGAAAATTGCACAAAAGTTACAGTTATCAGGTTATACAGACCTTTGTTCTCAAATTTTCTAAAATTGACCCAAGCTTTTTTTTGCGAACGGCGCCATTCATGTCGTTCCGACACATCTAGATTTTTTTTTTGTAGATTTTGAGAAAAAAAATGGTTCCTGCAACAATTAATTAACAAAATAGGTAACGTTGGAGTTTGAATGTTGGAAGTTTCCTTTCAAATGTAAAATTAACCTCAACATTGGTAGATAAGGAGTTCAAATGTAGTTGCATTTCAGAATTCAAGAGAGAAATTATTTATCAATGGCAGTCAAACAGCCTGACCTGAGAAGTATGTATTCTGGACAGGTTAAGGGGTGTTTGTGAAAAAAAAATCAGTATTTATACATGTCATATAAAAATAAGAAGATGTGGTTTAATTGCCAAAGAGACAACTTTCACAAGAGACCAATGACACAGAAATTAACAACTATAGGTCACCGTACGGCCTTCAACAATAAGCAAATGTATGTAATTCTATTCTATTCTATTCTATTCTATTGGCTAATTATTGATCACCATAACTATTTCATTTTTTTAGAGATGAACTACATTATGCTGTTATATGTCTATCATGTTTGATTTTTCTTTCTAACAGAATTACTATAAAATTTATTTTCAGGCTTCAGATACTAAATACTTGTTCATATGATTCATGTAAGAGGACGTAGAGATTTGTTGTTAAAGGTTTTGGAATGTTCAACTTTACTTGGGGGAAAAAAAGTTTAAATCACAAAAATACTGAACTCCGAGGAAAATTCAGAACGGAAAGTCCCTATCTAAATGGCAAAATCAAAAGCACAAACATATTAAACGAATGACAATAACTGTCATATTCCTGACATGGAAAGTATTGGC